CAGGGAGGTGCCAGTGTCATCCTCTTGTTCCTCCCACGCTCTTCTGGGGAGCTAAGAAAATGTTTATCTCCCTGAGCCTGGCCTTCATAATTCCATTCCATCACACTCTTTTCCTAAAGAAATAGAGCCATTCTGTTATTTTTTTAAAAAAGGTCCTCATGGAACATGTCATATTGTAATAAAGACTCTTGCAGAACCTTAAGGCCCAGCAGCTTTATCATAGGATGGTTTTCACTCTCTAAAGCTCAGCCGGTTAGTGGCTTTAATCTTCTTTATACCATTTGCCTGTGCAGCAAAGCCAGCAAATACCCTTAAAAGTTCAACAGAGAGTCCAAAAATCTTGCATTGTGCTTACTCACATCAGTTGCAAGCTGAGCTGATCCAGGACTCTGAATATAGGAGACTGAAAATGACACCTGCAACAAAACGGGAGAAAGGTATATCTTCAGTAAGACCTCTTCCGAGCCAAAGAGCAGGGCAGTGTGGAAACCAGGGGCGAAGGGAAGAAAGAAATCCCCCCCCCTCCGCAGCCTTGAAATTGGAGCCAAGTCCTTGTCTGCCTCGGGATCTGCAGAATATGAAGACCGTGGCCATTCCCACCACACGGACTCACCTGGGCAACTCCTGCAAGGTTGTGCCTCACATATTTGACTGTCAAGAAGAAAGGTGGGTCTTCTCCAGGAACAGTGGTTGGTAGGTGGACACTGTAAAAGCCAGGAAGAAGAAGGGTTTTTGGCTTGGGGGAAGGAGGGGTGGGGAGAAACTGGAGGAGAAAGCAATTGATGGGGAGGTGAGCAATGCCTCCTAAGCTTATAGGAGGAAAAGGAGTTGCAACAGAAGAGAAAGAGGTTCTTGGCTGAAGAGAACAAGATTTAAAAGGGCTCAGCAGCTCCCAGTGCAGAGGTCCTTTAGGTCCTAACCAAGTGGCGTGTCTGCTCGGTAAACGCAATGGACGTTTGTATTCACTGTTATGCAAAAGGATGCTCCGAGAGAGAATCAGAACAAGGATAGGATCACCTGAGCAACTAGGCACCCATTCTTTCCTCCTTTTTTCTTATTTTCTTATTTTCTGTCTACAGCTACAGCATTCCTGAGAGATGGCCATCCAGCCTCTCTTCAGCACTTTCAAGAAAAGAGAGTCCACCACCAGCTCTTATTTTTAGGAAATTCTTCTTGACGCTCCACCAAATCTGCTTCCTTGTAATTTGAGTCATTGCTTCTTGTTCTGTGTTCTGGAACAATTCTGCCCTGTCTTCTCCATGAAAGCTGTTCAGATGCTTGAAGATGGCTATCAGTCTTCCCACCATCTTCTCTTCTCCAGGCTAAAAGTACCCAACACCTCCAACTGTTCCTCCTAAGATCTTCCTCCCATCTTGGTTATTCTTCTTGGACACTTTCCTGTTTCTCAATGTGGTGGGCATATATTCTGTCCACCCCAACCAACCTCCACCCTTCATCAGGCCTTGGGGAATGCTAATGATGTTTTTTTACCTGAGAAGCAATTCTTTTGCCAGTGTAACAGATGCTGGAGCATTTGACAAATTCCCTTTTCTGTTTGACAGCCCATCGACCAGAAAGAACCTTCTGAGTGCTCGAGTCAACGGGGGCACTAAATGTCAAAACAAAACGCAGGGGGAAAGATTTTAGCAAAGGTTCTGGAGTTGTACTTTCAACACAGCATGCAAAGCTAAGCAGAATAGCTTCAGCGGAGTTGTTTAATATCTGTAAGGTCAGAAGGGGTTGAGATATTTTGCAGGGGCTGAAATGAAACTGCAGAACCGAACGTGCGCCTCCAAGGCAGGTTCAGACATGACATTAATGGACACGGTTTGTCGCCAACACATCGGGGCCCCGGCTTGTACAAGCTGTTCCCCTTGGAAAAGGCGGTGTTTGAGGAGAGACAGTTTGCAACATTTGGAGAAGAGGAAAATAGAAAATAGAGGGATTCATGAATAAAGCTAAGTTTCCAGAAATGGGAAAAAAGAAACAGGGTTCAAGGAAATGCCAGTGACATTTTAATGACAATTTGGAGACAATGCCTTTGATCTAAACCACACACACACACACACACACACACACACAAAAGATTGTTTCACCTTGGTTGTTTGTTACTATTAAAGGATTGCCTATAGGAACGGGCCACAATTGGAGGTTCCCCTTATCATCTTCAAACTGCAAAAACATCTCGTAGAAGATGGGTTCTGGAGTCCTTTGCAGCAGTTCAGAGACTTCGAGGGTGCACTAGAAACAATGGAGATCAAGGCGGGTGCTAGGGAGCTTCTTCTGCTGGGCCAAAGAGGTCTGTTGAAGCCACCCTTCTGAGACCGCCATATCCAGTTAATCATTTGGAAAGAAGACCCCAGACAGACAGAATCAAGAGAGATGCGATCTATTACTCAGACCCAGCTTCCCCTGAAAACAGGGGACACGTTGAAATGGCCGATGTCCTTCAGATGTGCTGGGCCAACTAGCTGGACCCACACCTCTGAAGGCCACCAACCTGGAAAAGGCCCTGCCAGAGTAAATCAAGTGAATCTCAGTTTGATGGGCGGCTTGTCTGCTTGGATCCAAACATTGCCTTTTCCCCAGACTGCAAAATAGGGCCCAATCCACCCAGAAGCTCTTCCAAAGGTTGAACTGCAGTAGAGGCATCGCTTACAGACTGACGGTACAGGGTTCCAAACACAAAGGCAGCGTCCAGGACCTTGTGGCTGTTTGGACAGAGCTAAACGGAGCAAAGAGAAAATAGGATACACCCGTTTCTAAATATTTTTAAATGGTTTTGTTCAACATAGTTAGTAAATAACCTTAGCCTACGTTTTCCATTTTTCATGATTTAGTTACACTGATGAGCTGCAGATTCAGGCACAACAAAAAATGTCTTTGCGTGAATGTGGCACGAGCGTTTTTCCTTTCTGTTGTCTTTTCCCTTCCCCGCCTACCTTTTTAAGTGAATATGGGCTTTTTATATCACTTTTAACTTATGGTTGTTTTACAGTCAAACAATGTTTTTCAAACAGAGATTTACGATAACAGGAGGCATTGTAAAAAAGAAAAGAAAAGAAAATCAATCAATACTGCAAAATTAACATTATTTGCAGCTACCACATGTACTGATGGCTCCTGATTTAAGACAGTTTTAAAAGGGAATAAATGAAATTCAAGGAGGACTAGCATAATGAAGCCCCTGGATCAGAGGCAATCTACTGCCAAATATCATTTTATGGGAAGCAATAGGATGAGACACTACATAACCCATCCTTCTCTTCCCCTTTTTGGTAGGCCTGCAGGATTCTTAGTGATTTTTAGACTTTTCCCTAGAAGGCTACACTGGAAACAAGTAACAGGCACGCACAATTCCAGGGACTTCTGATAAGGAATTTTTACTGAAGAAAAATCGAGAAGCCATTATGAAAGAATTCCAGTGACTTCTGTGTATCAAAAGTGTGTTGTGAGATGTGTGTGTGTCTGTGTATGAAGTCAATGTTCAATTTTTGCACCTCCCCCTCCCACCAGGACTAAGCCTGGTTTCCATCTGCCTCTTGCTTTGTAACAGCCAGATATGATAGCAGGTCGTTTTCAACTGACAGTGTGAGGACTAATGCTTGTGGGGACAACGTTTAAAAATGAAAAGGAATTAACTCACCTGCAGTGTTGCTCCTTTTACATCCTGCCAGCCCATGAACTTTCCTCGTGCATCGTATTGGATGACCTTGAAGTCAATCTGCAGAGAAGGAAAGCAAATTCAGCAGTGACTAGGTCATGCATTTTAAGGAGGTCTCTCTGGTTCGCCAATTTAGTCCAAAGGTCTATTCAGCAAAATTAACACGTCTGTCCGATTGAATTGCCCACAACTAACAACAAGGAATGTATCAGGCCTGCTCTGAGTCTAAATACCATCCTAGCATAACTTCTTCATAATCCCAGGTGTGTGGAGACAGGTGAGGGCTGCTCAGAAAGGCCTCTGCAGATACTTAGAGATACCCCATTATGACGTCTGGTGTTTCCATCACTCGCTTTTCACGTTAACAGCCTTACTGCAGATGAAATCTTTAAAAAATGGTCTTCAGCTGAGATTCCCATTGCCTCAGGCAAAGATCTCATGAAAAACCTGGGAGAACATACCCCTCAGGTGTAAAGATACAAAGCAGACCCTCTATTCCCCCTCCAAGGATTTCATTGCACGTGGCTCCTCTGAAGCTCCTTCTTCACTGAGATGGCAACCCTCTGCAGCGGGAGCACGCGCACCATTTGGTGGCAAAACCCTGCTTGCTAAACTTCCCAGGCTCCCAATCTTGCTAAGCCATAACCTTGGCTTGGTTTTGTGAATCTGGCCAACTGTGGCTCATTCAAAAGCCATGATTAAGCAAGCAATGGTTTATGGGGACAGGGGGACTTATTCATTATTTCAGTGCTCCAAAGGGATTCTCCCCAAACGAGGTGCCCTCTTGATGGAGAAGGAATTCTTTGAAAGGGGGAGCTGCCAGGGTCAACTCCTTCCTTTTCTTTACTCCAATGTAAGCACTGGCATTAAATTCACCTCCACGACATCTAAGCAAAGGAGGTGTGTATAAATTGAGTTTTGTTGCCTCTGGATCAGAAAAAAAAAAAGGAGAGCATTTGAGCAACAGACGTTCCTCACTCTCTGACACACATGGGGGGGATGAGGGACACGTGCACTGTTTTTCTGGGTCTGCTTCAACTTGCCTTTGAACGCTTCCCAAAAGCCAGGGAAGGGAAAGGTCTGGTGGCGCTGCTGTACCAAAGCTTTGGGAGGTCTTGGCTCCTGAAAAGAAAATCCATTCGCCCTTTGCAAGAGACGGCAGACGCTCCTGCAGGAAACAAAGCCCCACAAAACCCAGCGGACGCTCTGAGCAGACACAGGGCTCGCAGGGGTCAGCCCCGAGCCAGGGTGATGCCGCGAAGTCACTGCACAATGACATAATTTATGTCATTCACATGACGCGTAGGAGGCCAACTGCTCCTCGAGGTGCCACGGCAGCAGCTGGAAGACCAGAACCGGAGATACTCACTTGGCCTTGGCGTAAAGATCGTGAGCCCTGGTTTGTAAAGAGAAAGCTCCGAGGATGACCGTGTTGGTGAGCATTTGACAAGCCGTTGTGTTGCAGGTGTTCTGCAAAGAAAGAAAACAACGAAGCCAGATGCAGATGATCAATGCCTCGACGGCATCTACAACGGGTGGGACGTCAGACCATTTTGGCGCACGCGTCTTTGCAAAACTGAGCCCCTTCACAAGTTCCTAGCTTCCCTCTGCTCCCCATGTCAAGGTTGTAACCATTTTTTAAAAAACAGCACGTAAGGATGGGGCTGGCGCGTCATCGTGCTAAATGATGCACCGAGGCTTGCACACCACAACGGCTGTGTTCACACCACGGGCCAAGCTGACACCACCCCGAGCTTCAGCCTGAGACGGGCAGCAGGTCAATGAAGACGCCCATCCCTCCCTCCGAATTTTCAGAGTTGCTTCCAGTTCACGTAAAGAAATTCACTCTAGGAGGAGGCAACAGTAAAGGGTGGGGGGAGAAGAGTGCTGAGTTCCAGTCCTGATGAGAAACTGCTGCTGAAAGCCCAACCGACGGCCTGCGATTCTAAGAAGTCCAACCATGGTTAAAACCAAAGCCACCGCATAGGGTAACCACAGCAAGAGGATGGTGTGCGCAACGGTGCAAGAACAAGGCAATTCCCACAGTGGAGGAATGGATGGTGAAAATGTCAGAATTTGCAGAAATGGCAAAACTGACCTCTTTGTTTTTTTTAAAAGACTGGAAGCTTTATAGGGACTTTTTGCTGAAGGAAGAGAGAAATGAAAGGATGATTTACAAGTTCAACAATTAAGATGCACTTGGATTAAATGAGGGGATGAAGGGACTTATTTAGTACCTAAAGGGGGGAGGGACAATTAGATTGAAAAGAAGGTCTTTTCTTAACTTTAACTTTTTCTTCCTTTTTCTTTTCTTGCACTTCCTTTCTTCTCTTTCTTTCTTTCTTTCTTTCTTTCTTTCTCTCTTTCTTTCTTTCTTTCTTTCTTTCGATGTGTCTTTTATTGTATGGAAAAATTCTTAATAAATATTTTAAAAAATGAAATAAAATCAAAGCCACCAATGCCCTATTTGGCCTAGCAAGGAGATGCGGCAGAAATCCACCCACCTCGCACGCTAGGAAGCTCTCATCAAGAAACTCAGATTCCCAGAGGGTACCAGGTGGTACATTGCTCTGTGGATAAGGAGAGAGAAAGATCGTGTTAACTTTCAACGCTTCTGCCCACGTCTCCGAGAAAGAACCGAAGAGGTGTGCTCTTACGCAGCCGGGGCACGGAAGAAGATGGGCTCCTCCGCTGGACTCGTTCGATCCAGGTCTGCAAACGCAGCTCAGACCTACCAGAAGGAAAACTGAGTCAAGACAGGGCTTCTATAAGCTGCTTGCCCACTGTACGAGCCTCAAAGGTTCTCTCACAACATGGGCCGGCAACAAGGATTTGGTAACCGACTCTTCATGAGTAGGTGAGCTTTAGCATTTTAAAATAAAGAAACCAGGAAGCAAAACAGGTGGGATTTCAGATGAGAGGGGACAATGCTGGAACTCTGCAGAGCAGTGTTTTTCCCTTGCCGCACAAATCGTATGTGTGGCCTTCATTCTCCTGCATACCCCCACCCCCTCATCACATATAATCCTGCCCGGGAGGGGAGACTAC